AGGCTCCAGGCTCTGAGCCATCAGCCCAGAGCCTGACGCGGGGCTCGAACTCACGGACCGCGAGATCGTGACCTGGCTGAAGTCAGACGCTCAACCGACTGTGCCACCCAGGCGCCCCAGATTTGGATTTTTTAAAATAGGATTTTGAAAGGGAAAACAGGTGGCAAAGGTATCCCAAGGAGAGAACATTCTGGTGTGAGCATTAACTTACCCTCTGTGTTTTCATTGTAATGAACTATCACCGAGAGTTCCTTTAAGCTGAAGTTTTTGCCAACACCGTTTCCTATGGGACATCCCTCTTCCTCACAACTGCTTTCTTTGTTTATGTCAGCAGATTTGCCTTTGCTAAGTTCCTCTGGTTGTATATGTACAGAGTCTTTCAAATGGCAACAATGTCAGTATTCTCAGTCTTCTATTCTTCCATAATTCCATTTATGTTTTGTTTTCATTTTCCATTTGTTTGATGTACTTACATCTTTGTTCATCAGTTCTATTTTTTAATACCCATTTTTGTAAAATGCCACATGGAAGGCAAGGAGGAAACACAAAGACATGCTTTGCTGTCTGCGCATTAATTGACTAACAAATATGCAGTGTTCAAACACCAGCGGCATTTAAAGTGATGTGATCGGTCACTAATCATGATACACGTCTGCTATTTATATAGTGATTTGTGGTTTGAGGAACTAACAGCAAAATATGTACTTTATGCAACAGTTCATAGTTAATACACTGTGGTACCTGAAATTTGTGTCATGTTGGGGGGACTGGTGTTATGTAACTAACCCATGGAAACTGAAATCAATGCAACGCAAGCAATAGTATACTTCTAAATATTTGGAAGAATAATATAAATTTTTTTAATGTTTATTTATTTTTGAGAGAAAGAGAGAGAGAGACAGAGTGTGAGTGGGGGAGGAGCAGAGAGAGAGGGAGACACAGAATCCGAAGCAGGCTCCAGGCTTTGAGCTGTCAGCACAGAGGCCAACATGGGGCTTGAACCCATAAACCATGAGATCATGACCTGAGCCAAAGTCGGATGCCTAACTGACTGAGCCACCCAGGTGCCCCTGGAGGAATAATATATTAAGCCATCCCATC